TTAATATGTAATGTCTGTCAGGAGGGAAATTTGATGACCATACCTGGTTTGGCTTACATGTGATTCAGACCTGTAGCAGTGTGTTTGACATTCTTCTGAAATGGCTTAGCAAAACACTTGTTTCAAGGCAAACTTGGGATGGGCAATGTCCTGGCCTTGCTGCTTATGCCCACATCCCAGGAAAAAAGAAAAATTCTATTGCAAGAACACTTATTTGTATATTGATATTAAGAAGGAAATTCCAGGATTTTGATCCAGTAACAGTGAACTAATGACAATATAGTTCCAAATCAAAATTATGTACAACATTAAAACGGACATTGTAGGTTATTGTCCAGAAACTCTCTTACGTACTACACCACCTACTCTCATTTATTTAAACCGTTTGTTTACTTAATTGGTAAAATCCTTATTTAGTTGGATTAATTCATTTATCTAGTTTATTAACTAAAAGTAAGTGATTGATTCTTAGCTCTGGCTTAATGAGCAGAAATGAACGTACAGTACTCACCATATAATCATGTATATGCTGCTATGTGACTTTCATCCTTCATTTGTGTTGATCGATTTGAGTCTCCCTCCAGTGATGATCTGGGTTCTGCTGCTGACATTCTGTGCGTATATTTTACTCCTCTCCTGTGATGTGCTGGTCTTTGCTCTACTGTGACTGGGTTGACTACAAATTCCATCCTACATTCCATCCTTCCAATCTATCAGTGGGAAAGTAAAATTGCAACAAGCTCACTTCTGTGCAGATCTCTTCAATTGTTCTGGTGAGAGGCAATCTGGTCAATTGACAAACAAACCCCATTTTAATTGGGGAGATCATCCCCAATTTAAGTTAAAGTTTATTCAATTTCAAATATATCATGCTTGTTTTCTTTTCTGTAGAGGCATGTGTAAGATAGTCTAATTTTCATGGGATTGATTTGACAACCTAACATATAGGTAGGAAAAAGCAAATATTCCATATCAGTAACTTCACAGCTCCTGTTCTCAGTTGATCTGTCTTCATTATTTTCTACACTCCTTATTTTACCTTTCATGAGCTCTGGTTTTCATTAAATACCAAATGTGCATATTCTACAAATGGTTATTTAGTAAGAGGAAATTGCAACCAACAGCAAAACAAAGTGGATGCTTGTTCTCAGGTCAGATCCCTTATAGCTGTGATCCTTGTGTCTCAGTCTCTTGCCAAATGACTCATTCCCGCAATTCCAAAAACAGCAGTTTGGTCAATTTAGAGCGCCTGTCAGGTATTGGGTCTCTGAAACATTTTAAAAAATGGGTACCAACTCATAGCGTACATAGTTATAAAAAATTGTTTGCTTTAACTAAAGCCGGTCCATTTTGTAGTCCAGAATCTGCCCCAGACAATGAACAGAATCATTGATCATCACTGTGGATCCTACCACAGTTGAAGCAAGGATAAGCTGTGGTGAATTACAACATGCAATAGCTGTCCAAATTTCAGAATAATTCAATGTGCCACCCCTCTACACAAATTATGGCCTGTCTCCTTTGTCTCGGCAAATGATATGATGGTAACTGGGTTCACACATTACAGAGGTTCAATGGGAAACACGAATGTATTTAATTTCTTTTTGTATTTGTGAGATGGTGTCACTGTCTAGGCCATAATAATTTATTGCTCATCCCTAATTGCCGGACGGCTGTTAAGGATCACTCACATTGCTGTGGGTCTGGAGTCACATGTAGACCAGACCAAGTAAGGACAGAAGTTCCCTAATCTAAAGGATATTAGTGAACCAGGTGGGTTTTTCCAACAATCAGCAACAGTTTAATAGTCATTATTTGACTCTTAATTTTAGATTTTTTTAAAATTGAATTCAAATACCCCCGTTTGCCATAGTGGGATTTGAAGCTAGATCCCCAGAACGTTACCTGGGGTTAATAGTCCAATGATAATACCACTAGGCCATCACCTCCCTTCTAGGAGTCCAAGCTCAATTGTCTGTTCAGTTTCAGTTTGGATGCAAGCAGTTCTCATTTCCGAACTAATGCAAAGCTGATTATTCTGAGACACTTCATCAATAGATCTAAACATTATCTCATGAGGTCTGCCAAGTAGTTGATCCTCTCCTTTGAGCAGATTTGGCCCTGCCACAACAGTGACCATAGTTGTGATTGTGATCTTGTTTCATTTTCCTGCAGAACACAAAAAAAGCACTGGCTTAGACCTGATAGCACAAACGCTGCCGTGGTGGTTCAGTTTAAAATTAAGATTAACAGGTTCCAGATTCACAGAATCATAGAGGCAGTCTCCATTTCCAGACAATCCTTCAGGTGGGAGCACAGTTGGGTTTCCCTGTCCCTCCCTGCTTTGCAGGGGATTGTCGTCCTCATTCCAAATTATTGGGCTTATTGAGGAGCCAACTTCCTTTTGTTCTTTCTGGGCATCTGACCAGCCACTCTTACTGTATTTGAGTTTGGCACAGGCAGCTTCTTCATTTGGTTAATGTGGATAGCGTTGTGTTTTATCTTCCAGAAAACAATTGAGGACTAAAAAAGGGTAAGACAGATTTATAAACTAATTTGTGAGAATTGGCTGGAAAAAAGAAGTTTTGCCTGTTCATAATTTTCAATGTTGGAAGATGTGTTACCTGGTTTAAAAAAAAGACCCTTACAGACTCAATCCAGAGAGTTGAGCACAAGTGAGGGAAGAGCTTAAGTTCATAACTGAATCATAGTGGCTCAAGCTCACCTATCATGATGTACTGGAAGGAGTGGTTCATTAAAGATTTTATATTGAGTATCTCACAATCAACACGTGAGCAAAAGTGGAATTGTATTCGATTCTGAGACTGGATGATCGCGTTGAACAAATTGGGCATGCACAGTTTGTCATTAAAATTGGCTTGCTAAAAAAATTGGCAAGCTCTGTTAACAGGACAAAAGACATATTGGCTTTTATGACATTGGATGAACTTTATCAATGCACAGTTAAGCTATTTGGAATGAAAAATACAGGTGGGATGTTTCAATGATTAACCAATAACGTCATTGAGGGATTGTGTAACTGTGCTCTTTTCATCAGTTTCGTTTTTAACCAAAGCTGGGAAGAATATTTACACTACTCGACTGAACTCTGGCTACAGAAAGTCCATTTGTTGATAAATATGGCTAAAAATGAATTTCCTGAGGTAAAGTGACTGATTTAGGCCACAGTATGGGACAAGGCCAAGTAGCACCTAGAGAAGTGGCAGTGTCTTGGATATCCCCCTGCCTAGAGCAAAATGTGAAATTTTGTTATAATTGCATGAGTACATTTTATCACAACTTCGTTCTAAGCTTCACCACTGTTGTGGCTTCTTTTACAAACTTGTTGAAAAAGGCAGAAATTTGACTACCAAAGAGTGTCAGAGTGCATTTGAAAGCTAAAACCGCACTGATTTTAGCCAGGGCAAATTATACGAAACCATTCAAATGGCTGTTGAGGCTTCAGGGTCTGTTTGACTGCAAGGTGATGAGATGGGCTTGAACAACCTGTCATATACTTTTCAAAGAAACTGTGTACATTGTCAGCAAAAATATTCCACAGTGGAGCAGATGACATTGAATCTTTTGCTGATTCTGCAACATTTTGAAATGTGGATCAGAAACAACATGGGAGAAACTGGTATTTTATGGTATAGACCATAATATTTGATTTACTTTGAGAAAAAATGTGGGACAAGAACATTTGAATGTTTTGGTGGAGTTTAATTCTCCAACTGTATAATATGAAAATTGTTCGTGCTCATTGGGGAGAAAACATATTCTAACAGATGCTTTATCAAGAATACATATGAAAGACTTTGAAATAAGTAGTGCCCATGAACAAATATAAAATATGTATGCTGTGTAGCTCATTGTATGTTTAGTGTCAATATGTTCCTACTGTAACTAATGAGTAATGAACATGAATGAACATTTTCAATTTTCATCGGGAGGAGTTGTGATGTAAGGTCTGTGATTTAGTATTTGGATTTAAGCTAGTGGCATCTGGGTTTTCATTTTTGCATTGGAAGTGATTTTAATGATTAACTTGTAGCAATGGTGATTTCTTTTAAAACACCGTTTTAGCAAGAGACTTCAAAGAGAGATATAAACCTTTGCGTATGTTGAAAAGGTTTGAGTGAACAAAGTAAACAGTGTAATGCATTGAGCTTTCACATAAGAGATTCTGAAGTTTGTCTTTGGCTTAAAGAAGTATCCATAGCTTGGAAGAAAGCTTTTCAGTTCCAGTTTGGGCCATTTCATAGATGTCTTGGCTGAAGCTGGGTAGTTCCTGACAGAGAGCTAATTTAGGTCTGTTAAGAACGAGGATACCTTGGTGTTTAATGGTTCCTGACCAGAAATGTTTGTTGTTCACAGATTTTGCAAAGAGTTCCATCAACAGGAAGTGTTAAGCTCCATAGAGGAAGTGCCCAGAAAGTCTCCTATTAAACCGCTTCAGAGTTTTCTAGAAATTAGTCACTTGTCGGCCATTTTAAGACAGTCTTCTTGCTCATTTACAGTTTTCTTTTTAAAAATATCTGAAGATGGTCCATGTAAATCAACATTGTGGCACACTCTAAAATGGCACTTTTGACTTGGCAGCAGATGTAAACTGCTGTCAGGAAAGAAGTTCATTTACACAGATCGCGAGGTCTTTGTAGGCATCTTACTTCAAAGTTAGTTGTGAATATCACTGCTTCATCACTAACTGCAAAGCCCAGTCAATAGTATTCTTGTGAATAAATGAAATGTAAATTTGTTTTTTGGTGGAAACCAGAGAGAAAATCACGTGTTAAACAAGTGAGCAGCAAATGTTGTGAATTAGATGGATGTGCACCTCTATCAGTATCCATGTGGACAAAGCTGGTGTCCCTTTTGATTAAAAGAAGGAAAGAATAACGATTTCAAAGCTGTTCAGAGTGTTTAAAAATGCAAGTTCAGCTCTTAACAAATGTTTTCTATTTTTGAATTTAGCATGTAAATTTGTTCTTGTTACCTAGGTAACTATTATGGAACACCCAAACCTCCAAGCCAGCCACTCAGTGGGGAAGTAATTACCAGTGATGCTCTGCGAAGTCCTCAGGCTGGCACAAAGCCGACTCCAAAACGAAGCAAATCCTACAATGATATGCAAAACGCTGGAATAGAGCAGCTGGAAAATGAAGACGATGAGGAAAACCCTGAAATGAATAGCAGTTTTACAGGTAAACTGTCAGCTACCAGCTTATCTCAGCACCAAGTCAGAAATAAAACACATCTCAATAATAATTTAGTATGTAAAAGCTCACTTCACATATCTAGAACAAGATGGAATGAAGAAACAAATATATGATGTTCACGTGATAAAGCATAATATAGAGCTAACTTTGTGATACTTTTATAGAAAGGGAAAAACGGTGTACAGTTATCAGATTGGTATTCTTCTTACTTATTGCTCAAGTTATCTTCCTGATTTGCTTTTGTACCATTCCCTCTATAGTTCTCCTTAGATTCCATCCTTGATCCGTCATTAACAGGCTGGCTCTTGGCTTATTCATCTGCAGGCACAGGGTCAGCCTTCACATGTTTCACCATCGCCCCTTTGCTGTTGGACTGTTTGCTAGACACCCCATTTCATACGAATCACCATTTTCTATAACTAAGAATTGACAAATCCCAAAAGGATTTTTATTTTTGGCCCCTGTCACAACTCTACACCCTTGCCAGAGGCTTCACCCCTTCCCTGTGAACTAAATCGAGCTCAACCAGACTGCTGGTAACCTAGACAGCCCCCTCACCTCCCAGCTGAGCGTCTAATCCTACTTTCTTTCCATTTGCACAAACTGCATAGATTTACTTTTGGCATCATCACCTCTACCACTGCTTCATCTCATGCAGTGCTGAAATTCTTTGGTCACCTTGTGCTTAAATATACCATTGCCCTCCTGTCCATCTTTCAACTTCTGTAAAATATTGCTCTTCCAAAACTCTAATATCCTTACCTGATCCCATACCAAGTCCCAAGGACTTATCTGTAGTTCCTGCTTGGCCCAGCATCTGAAATTTAAAATTCTCATATTTTTTGTTATATTTCCATCTTGCCCCAGCAATCTCTCTAGCCTTCTCCAGCCTTAACCACCACCACCCCCACCCTCCCAAACTTCCATTCCACAAACTTCTGATGCTCGTGCACCACCTTTCCATTCACTACACAATTGGTGACTTTACCTTCAGTAACTTTATGCCCCACAGTCTGAAATTCCCAATTTAAACCTGACTGCTTCACCATGTCTTTCTCCTATCCTTTAAGACTCTCCTTAAAAACCATGAGACATAGGAGCAGTAGTAGGCCCATGAAGTCTGCTCTGCATTCAGGGAGATCATGGCTGATATTATTATCCTCAACTCCACTTTCCTGGTTTTTAACCCGACAATCCTTGATTCCCTTATAATTAGCCGTGAATATAGTTATGCAGCCCAGCCTCTCTTGCACTCTGTGATAAAGAATTCTACAGATTCACCGTCCTCTGAGTTGATAACTTTTTCTTCATCTCTACCATAAATGAGGCACACTTTTTTTATTTTGTGGTTATGCCCTCTGTTCCTAGATTCTCACACAAGAGGAAACAACCTTTCCACATCTACCCTGTTAAGTCCTTCAATAATTTTGTGTTTCAATATGGTTGCCTCTCCTAAAGTCCAGTGAGTACGAGCCCAACTTACTCAGCCTGTCGGAATAAGAGCATCAACTAAGTGAGCCTTTTCTGGACTGCCTCCATTAATATTCAGCCTTATGTATTCTCCTGCACCAAAACAAATTTGACATCAAGAATTCTCGACATAAAAGTTGGATTGGGAACCTGGTGACTTTAACTTGTCGCTCGCTATGAGAAGCCTCCATGTTGCTCAGCTTGAAGCAGCATCTGACATTTGCCAACCACTCACAATCATCATTGCTCCCCTTCAGCCCACTTGCAGGCTGCTCACGAAACACAGAGCTGCAATACAGCATGTTCGGACAACTAGCATTGAAAGACTGCTGCGAGGGCAGTGATTTGAACAGACAGGCACTGGTTCACAACTGGACAAGTTTGCTTACTGTCTCAGCACCCTCTCACTTAGCATCTACCTGCTTTGCCTTGTCTTGCCAAATAGTACAGCCACTCAACCAGGTAGCTTGCCTTGGTGGTCAGCATCTCTCACTCTGGGGGTGTACATCATGCTGTACAGCGCCATACTATGTCAGTCTCACCTCTACAACATGTGCGCTGCAGCAAACACATTGAGACATGGCTGCTTGCAACATATGCAAAGTTGTAGAGACAACTGTCAGTAAGTGGGTCACAATAAGTCAAGGGCAGCCTTGTCCAGTGCAGTACAAGGCATTGGCTATGGTCAGGCATCTGTCTGGGATGGTCTAAGCCAGGGTGCCAATGCATCCTCCTCAGCTTCAACTTCTAAGGGTTGGGGGTGCGGGCAGGGTGGAGGTAGAAGATCTGGCCATCTCTGGAGTGTCTTGAATGTGGAAGCAGGCCATTCAACCCGTCGAATCCATACCAACCCTCCGAAAAGGGTCCCACCCTCGACACTATGGGCAATTTAGCATGGCCAATCCATCTAACCACAACATCTTTGGACGGTGGGAGGAAACTGGAGCACCTGGAGGAAACCCACGCAGATGCTGAGAGAATGTGCAAACTCCACACAGGCAGTCTCCCAAGGCTGGAATTGAACCCAGGTCCCTGGCGCTGAGGCAACAGTGCTAACCACTGAGCTGCCCCAAAGATAACAAGGACCCATCCAGGAATTAAACCCGGGGACCCCTCACAATCTCAAATCTACCCGAAGCAAGAATCACACCACTGGACCAATGAGCTAGTACAAAGCTAGGTTGTGGACATCCACTGGAACTTTAGACAAAGGAGAGAGAATCCTTCGTAGCCAGTGGTTAGACATAGTCTGTATTGGCAGTTTTTTTTAATTTCCTCTCCCTTCCTTTGCCTGTTGATTTTTAGTATTTTTGGAATAGTGTTAGTATTTTCTCCCTTGATGACTGATGCAAAGTATTTCTTTAACTCCCTTTGCCATTTTCTGGTTCCTCGTTATTATTTACCCAACCTTTTATCTCTGAGTAACAAAAACAAAGTTGCTGGAGAAGCTCAGCAGGTCTGGCAGCATCGGTGAAGGAAAAAACAGAGTTAACGTTTCGGGTCCAGTGACCGTTCCTCAGAACTATTCTGAGGAAGAAACATTAAGTCTGTTTTTTTCCTTCACCGATGCTGCCAGACCTGCTGAACTTCTCCAGCAACTTTGTTTTTGTTCCTGATTTACAGCATCTGCAGTTCTTTTGGTCTTTATCTCTGAGGGTCTTGTATAGACTTTGGCTTCATTCTTCCTCTTTAAAGAAGCTCTTACTGTCCATTTTAATATTACTTGCCAAGTCACATTCAAAGTCTTTTTCTCCCTCATAGTTTTTCTTGTCATCTTTTGGTTTTTACATCTTTCCCAATCATTGATTTACCACCATTTTTTGCTATATTTTCCTTTCAATTTCATACCATCCTTAACTTGTCGAGGTAAACCATGGTTAGTTTATCCTGTTCCTAGAATTTTTCTTCCTCACTGGAATATATCTTTGCTGTGAGTCATGAACTGTTTCCTTAACTTTCTGCCATTATTCATCATGTGAATTCCACCTTAAAATTGGCCTCTTTGACTGAAATCTTGGTCAGTGCTCCTAATTGTTCCCTTATTGGTTTGGTGTTTATTTCATTGTTAATGTTCCTTTTGAAGAACCTGCGTTAAGTGGGCTGTATAAATTTTAGTTTTTGCAATGTTAATATTAGCTTGTGCTATACATATATCAAGTGATTGGTGATGTGAAAACAAGGCATTCTTCAGATAATATTTCAAGCTGGGGACTTTTCTGGCTCTTCTAGCAAATGATTTGAAATTAAAAATCCCATTGCATTATCTAAAGAAGCAAGAGAGGCCTATGTTCCTCAGGCAAGAAAACAAAAAATAGATTTGTCATCATTTATTTCATGCTAACTTTGGAATCCAACTGTTTGCAAAATGACTAGTGTGTTTGTGTACATGGTGCAACATTTTAAAGCTATTCACTGTAATCTGAAGTCCTTTGAGATTTCATGGAGATGTGATAAGCTGTTACATCAATACACCTCTTTCAGTGATCTGTTAAGGCCACCATTCCTGATTGGAAATGTTTATGAAAAGTTGAACAATACTCAAGATTGTCAGTATATTACAGAATTATTTGGCATTAAAGCTGCATTACAGCACAACATGTGCTCTTTACAATTGATTATTTCATTTTGTTTATACATGGAAATCTGTTGCCAGTACTGTTGGCCAAATTAAAGAGGAGATCAACAATTAAACTGATCTCTTTGTGAATAAGATGAGAATTATGACTTTTTTAATGGAAAGTGTTGCATATAATCTTGAGTCCCATGTTGTACATTTTGCTGTGGGAATTATTTCTCAAAATGACGGTCTAGGTATTTTTTCATTGTTCATCAGGAGGGAGGTTTCTATCCATGATGATCTATATTGTTTTGAATATTTTCTGTGATGTCTTATTTATCATTAGAAATTACCATCAAATTGAATTAGGGGATGCAGATAAGTTGTTGATTGCCACATAATTATCAAACATTGCACAAAATAAAGGTCATGGAAAATCTGTCTCACTAAAAACACTATCTCTGAGATAATGGATCAATTTTCATGTTGGAGATTCTTTTATGAACTGTCAGACTCTTGATTTGTTTAATAAGCTGAATTTTATTGTTTGCAAGTGATAAACTAATGGTTTGTGCCACTGATCTTGATGAAAGCTTTCTACATGATCTGGTCATCTCTGTGGCATGGACTTCACTTCACCTGATGTCACTTTGTTTCCAATGTCTGAGTCAGGGAGACATCCAGGTACCCAGCAATATTGATCTCCTCAAGCTGGATAAGCAGCAGGACAATGCATTGCAGTATTCTTGAAGACACTGAATCAGGAAATAAAATTCTGCTCCTATGATGCTGCTTGGCCTGCTGTGTTCATCCAGCCCTGCACCTTGTTGTCTCGGATTCTCCAGCATCTGCAGTTCCTACTATCTCTAATAAAATCCACTCAATCCTTTCACTTTAACTTTTAAAAAAATGTTTTATGAATAGAGTAAATGGACAGAACACACATCCATGTGCAATATTTTACCATAATGAAAAATCTTGCCATTCAGCAAATATAGAATTACTCCACGTCCAATGAAACTGTTTAGCAATATTTGTGATTATTATGTTGCAAGAAACCCACATTCAAAGAGATGTGACTTATTCAAGCATTTTTATAACAAGACTAACAGTATAATAGGGAAATTCTAGTCAGTTCAGTTATTTCCAATCAGTTGAAATCTGGAGAAACCTCAACTGTACTTCCTTTAGAAAAACAAAAAAAAATCACTGATCGTCAATCCTGCAGTTCCCCATTAACCTGTGCAAATTCCAGAACTGCTGCCAGTTCAGTGGAGCAATGCCACTGAGTGCTGATGGTATTGCAATCACAACTACTTCAAAATCCAGAACAATGCATTTAAATGATTACAATGGTCAGTGTATTTGTTAATAGACTGGAGTAGAAATAGAAAAATATTGAGTCAGTTCAATGATAGTGACTTCGTTTGTAGACACCATGTTGAATATGTATTCCTCTTGCTGCTTTGTATTTAAACATGAAGCATTTACTGCTTTTTCGGTCTGGTGAATATTTACATGCTCTGGCACCTTACCCTCAACTATTTTAGAATTCTAAATTAAACAGTTAGAATGCATAATCTCCTCTGACATTAATATTCGGCTTGTTTTTTAGATTCCAGTGAGCAAGACGAACAAAACAGTCACGCCCCCAAAGAAGAGGCACCTCAGTCTCACAACCTCAATAGCTCCAGTATCCCGAGTGCCGAGCTGCTTCAGCAACCAATACAAAATTCTAATCTCCCAACAGACGACCTTGGCCCTTTGCCTGACAACTTGGAAATGGCATTTACTGAAAATGGGGAAGTCTACTTTATTGAGTGAGTTTAGTTTTTATTGGAACTTCACTTAGTATTTTACAAATGAGTGAGCCATAAGTCTGTGAAGAATTATAAGTTTTATTCATTTGAAATTGGTACTTTGGTGATTTGGGGAGAAATTAAGCGCGTTTGCATTGGCCATAAAACGATTTATCAATTGTCATTATTTTGATGTGTTGATTTGGAAGATTGTTGGCATAAGAATGCTTGTAGTTCAAAGCTCGTGGACAGCCTCAGTTTGGGAAAATTGAAAGTAATGTTGTACCAAAATTCATCTGTGTTCATTTTTATGCCATGATAGCAGTCTTGGTTCTGAACCTGGGGACTATAGGTTCATTAAAACGATAAGACGAACGGGAGAAAAATTCTACAACCTATAGAGCCTGCTCTGCCATTCAGTATGATTCCCAGCTAATCTTGAGCTTCAAGTTCACCTTCTGATCTGCTCTTCCTGTCATTTGATTCCCTGGGAGACCAATAATCTTCCAGTCTCAGCCTTGTATATATCGAACATCAGCAACCCTCTGGGCTTGAGAGTTCCAAAGAATCACAACTCTTTGAGTGAAGAAATTTCTCATCTCACTCCTAAATGATCAATTCTTTATTCAAAAACTGTGTCTTGATTTAGATTCCCCTGTCGGGGAAACATAACCTCATTATCTACTCTGTCCAGCTCTTCCATAATCTTAAATGATCAATTAGATCAACTCTCATCCTTCAAAACTGCAAAGAATATAGGCGCAATTTACTCAGCTTATCATCATCAAACAATATTCTTACGAGAGGGCCAATCTAGTGAATCTTCATACTGTTGACTCCAGCGTAAGTATGGAAACCAAAATTGTGTACAGTATTCCAGCTGTAGTTTGATCGAAGTCCTGTAAAATCGTAACAACACTTATTTATTCCTGTACATCAATCCCCTTGTAATAAATGCCAAAATGCCAGTTTCTTTTCTATTTGCTTCTCATACGTGCTTGTTAACTTCAGTTCCTTTTATAAGTATACCCAAATTTCTGTGACTGTCACCCTTTTAAATGTTTCATGCCATTCCGCATAGAGCTTGGTGTCATCAGGACCTAACTCGACACCACCACCTCTTCATTACCTCAGCCTCTAAATGATCAGACTATTCATCAAAAATCCAACATTTAATGAGAGAAATTCTCTTCCAGTGAAATGATGGGAAGAGTAAAACCATTGTCTTCAATCCTGCCACGTACATTGTTCCTTGGCACCAGCTACATCCCTCTACCTGGCATCTTCCTGAGATTGAACCAGACAATTTGCATCTCTGTCTCGGCAGTTGTTCCTGAGCTAAGCTTCTGACAACACATTCACATCATTTTTCTCTTTAGGCTACTGTTAGCATTGGTTAGATTCTTGTCACCATGAACTCATTTTGTTTTTCTGCTGTAAACAGGTAGTAACTACCATCTGTCTTGTTTCTCCTGGTCTATTTGGCTTCTTTCAAAATCTGCTGTAATTCATTTCAAAGTATTTCTTATTCCTTCTACAGCAGTAATTCAAAACAAACCCCCTGCTTTCTTTTTCCTCAGAAGAACAATGTTACTAATGTAATGAGGCAGACAAACCAAAATGACCAAATGACCATCAATTCAAGAAATTACCAATAAATGTCCTTTTTTTTTGGCAGCTCATACTTTAATTTGCATTAGTTCTTTTGTGTTAATAATGAATTCTTCAAACAAAAAAGGTGAATTTCATTTTAAGTAGTTGATACAACAAAGAAATGTCTCAGAGCAACTACCAAATGTTTTCCTACAGCATGTATGGCATTGTATGGTGACAAAACTCCACAGTGAAACAGGCCCTTCAGCCCACCATCTCTTTGCTGACCATGATACTATTCTAAATTAAACCCAGCTGCCTCGCATGCTCCATACCCTCTATTCCCTGCCTGTTCATGTGCCTGTCTAAATGCCCCTTAAACTTTACTATAGTATCTGCTACTGCCACCTCCCCTGGCAGCATGTTCCAGGCACCTACTACCTTCTGTGTGTGTAAAAATAAAATTTCTTGCACATTTCCTTTAAACCTGCCACTTCACTTTTTGCCGCCTTGGAAAGAGACACCAACTTTCCACCTTATCTGTGCCCCTCATAATTTTATATATTTCTATCAGGGTACCCCCGCCCACCCCGCAGCCTCTGCTCTAGTGAAAACAATCCAAGTTTGTCCAACCTCCCGTTATTGCTAATTCACCCCAATCCGTGCAACATCCTGGTGAACTTCATCTGCATCCTCGCTAAAGCCTCCATATCTTTCCTATAGTGTGGCAACCAGAACTGCACGTGGTTCTCCAAATGTGGTCCAAGCAATGTCTTACACAGTTGCAACTTGTGATGCCAACTTTTATACTCAATGCACTGACTGATTAAAGGCAAGCATGCCTTATCTATTTCATGCGGGGTAGTTCAGGAGCTCCATACATCCACAGCTTTCATCTGAGTTTCACAGGCACAATTATCATCAGCACAGCACCCTTTTGGAACCCTCTCTCCCTCGGGTCATGTCTATCCTAACACTGTGTCTTGCTGGAGTTCTTTTTCAACCAACCAGTAAATAATGCGCTGGCTTTATGATATGGCCACTTCAGGGAAAAGAGCTAGCTATTTAAATCCTCTGAGCTATTTAAACAGCTCTCCGTGTTTTAAACCCTTTTTAGCCAGCTCCCCAGAGCTGCTTCCTCCATTTCAGTCAAACAAAATAAACTGATATCTTCCTGAGAATGATTTGATTTTTGTCATGATCTATCTGTGATCCTCTTTTTCCACCTTTGTCTCCATTCTATTTGTGCTTGAATCAAGCCGTACGTGCTCCAGCTCTGCTCTATGCACCCGTCCTTTGTGTCTGCACTTCTTAATTCTGTCTGTGCCACATGGCTTAGTTCTGAACTTCCATTCTTGGTGCTTCTCCTAGGTTAAGGGTTTGTATTGCTTTTAGGTCAAGGCTTGCCAGCTCCTACAGACCAGTATTTTCTATTACCAAGCAAATCACAAGTGATCTCCTTACAATTAATGCAAACTCCTAATTGATTTTCGAACATTCGTAAAAACAGATTTTTTTTCAAAAAAGTATCATTTTTTTCCTTACTGTATTGTTTCCAGGTCAAAATTCACTACACGTGTCAGTGCATTGAAGAAACTGTATTAAAAGTTTCCAATAGTTATATGCTTCTGTGGGCCTGATATAATTGTGCAATCCTGACAATTTTAGTTAATTGAGCTGAGACTAAACATGCTCTTTAATAGAGCTTGACTGAAAACTACTTAAATTATTTTACCTATTTGTGAATTTGTGTTATGTTGTAAAACTTTACCACTGTGTTCTGCATTATTTGGATTCGCTCAGTTTAAAAAGATGCATGAATTGAATTGGAGGTGTTGTTTTGAAAAATATTATTCAGCAGGCGTTGTTGACACAGGTCTTGATATTGCAGTTAAAGCTCTTGAGAGATTTTGGAGCACGCATGTGCATACTTAAATATATTATTGTTTTGTAGCCACAATACAAAGACTACATCATGGCTTGACCCAAGGTGCCTGAGCAAGCAGCCAAAACCACTCGAAGAATGTGAAGATGATGGTAAGTGGAATGTAATCATTCCAAACTCATTGGTTAGAAAAGTTTACACATTGCGACAAAGCACAGTTGATTTCTGATAGAAAACATATTTCAAATATCTTTTCTCACTCCAGCAATGGACTCAATTAGCTGCTCTAAATAGTCAGTTCCTTTAATTATAAGTGGAATGTCAGTTCAAATAAAATATTTCGTGAAGAAGTGGATTGTGTACCTTTTTGGTTTAAAAGATTGTTTTCTAGTCTAAGTGTTTCATTGCAATGTTTATCTGTGCTGCTATTCATAAAGATATTTTGGCACTATCAACCCACTCATCACTTCCAAAACCTGTCAGCGTTCTCAGAAAATAGAATGTGAATGTTCTGGAAGCTTACATAATTACTTTAACGCACACAATTTGGAACTTTATCGATTTTCAATCATTACTGACCTAATCAAAGTGACTTTAAAATATAGAAGAAGAACTGAAGTTGCTGGAGAAGCTCAGCAGGCCTGGCAGCATCTGTGAAGAAAAAATCAGCGTTAATGTTCTGAGGAAGGGTCACCAGACCCGAAACGTTAACTCTGCTTTTCTTCATCATAGATGCTGCCAGACTTGCTGAGCTTTTCCGGCAACTTCTGTTTTAATTACACATCCACAGTTCTTTCAGTTTTGACTTTAAAATATCTTTATTTCTATTGAAACCATTGATTGTAGTTGCATGTAAGCCTTGGATCAGATGGTAGAAGTCTTGTCTGTGAATCAGAAGATTGGTTCATGTCCTGTTCCCAAAACTCTAGGCTGGCATCCAAACTGAGGGATTACTGCACTCCAGAGATGTACTCTTTAGGTTGTGAGATTAAATGGAGAACTGACTACCTTGCCACATCTATGTAAATACCCCATGGCATTATTCTAAAGAAAAGCTGTCCCCACAATTTTCTGGCTGATATTTAACCCTCAATCAATATCACAACCACACATTATCTGCCTATTATCACTGGCTGGGGTTGTTGATTTGTTTACCAACCTACCAGCCTGGTAAACAAATCAACAATACCAGCCACAATCCGAGCTAAAGTCTTCTCAAAAACATTATCACTGGTTGCCATGTTTCCTACGCTTCAACAGCGACTACAGTTCAAAAATACTTCATTGTCTTTAAAGCTGTTTGTGATGTCCTGAGGTCATGACGTATGCTATGTAAATGTAAGTATATGAATTCCTGACCTTTGAGTGACTTAATGACTTTGAAAATAAAACAGCATGAAATGAGATCTGTCTATCATGTGGTCATGTTCTTAGGCATTTGCTCTTGGAATTCATTTCTTGGATTATGTCTGTACTTTGCAGTCATTTTAAAGCTGCAGTATTTTATTGCTCTTTCCATTTGGTAACTTGCCCTCATTTGCAAGGTTCACCTTGGTTCTGCAAGTTTTTTTTTGTATTTGCTTACGTTCATTAAAAACAAAGAAAATTGTGGCATAACCTTTTTTTCAAACCAGTGCCAACTATGTATCATTGAAAGAATTGTATAATTAAAAAATGCTGTTTTTGTAATGTTATATGGCTCTTCCTTAAATCCCTCACAGGGCAATCAGAAATGGACATAGCAATTTAATGGTGTGGTGTGCTGGACGTTTCTTCAGAAAATCTGGGATTTATGGATTGTTTTTGTGTTTCCTGATTATTTTCTTAATTGCTTGGGTGGAGCTACTGCTGTTGGGAATGGGGTCTTTGCTTGTTGGTATCACTTTGATTTTTAGCTAAATTCTCTTCTGTTACTTTCTTCTGTCCTTGCTGGGTGCATTTGCCTTGGAGAAGAAGGGGTACACACAGAGGAACTGGACAGTGAAATAGGTAACTCACCATGCAACATGATGTGCAGTAATTCAAATTTCAACAAATATTCACACGCTCTTAAGCTTTCTCTGTTTTAAGTACTGTTGTGATGAGAGTCATTCAGTGCCGCTATTAGTTGACTCAGTGTTTGAATGTAACTGGCGCTCCGTGTTTTAATGCAATTGATGACAGAATGTAATTTTAGACCTTTCTGTAATCAATGGATATTGATCCAACACAATACAACTTGCAATATGTGGTTACTGTGGCTGATGAGATCAGTCTAAGGGTATGACATAAAAATATCTCAAAGTAAAAGGCCAGCATCAACAGTGAGTGATCTTTCAGTTTGAATAATGTGTGTATGTATCTACGTATGTCTGAAAATATGTTCAGTATCAAATGTTCTTAGTTAGATTGTTTGCCATTAGGCCAAAAAGAAGCACTCAAGAATTAAAATACTGAATCTTGGAACTTGTCAATAGGTCAAGCAGCACATGTGAAGAGAGAAACAGGGTTAGCATTTCAGCTTCATGCCAATTCATCAGAACTGGAAGATGTTAGAAACTGATCAGGCTTCAGCACAATAGAGGCAGGGAAATGGGGAAGGGAATGAAAGAGCAAAAGGGAACAGCAGTGATACATGAGGTAAGAGATTAAATGGCTGGTGGATGTTGGAAGGCAAAAGGCAATGATAATAGATGAGCCAGAAGATGAATGTAGACGTGCACGTGGCAAGAACAGAATAATTACAGACTCTAGACTTCTTTGTTAGGCAGTTGTATAGAAGAACTGTGTATGTAAAACAACACAATTGTTATTTTAATGAATTCTTAATCTGCAAATGTGACTTTCACAAATAAATGGTAGAATATTTTCAAGCACATTTGAAGTGCCACCTTCCTTCAACCAATGACAATTTCTTAGCGTCTCAAGTTGTTGCAGATTGCTGGTGCTGACTTCATGGGCGCTACAGTGTTGCTGCATTCAGCAAAGAGTGTACCAAGCTGAGTTGAGAAGTTCATTACCATCTAAATTATAAAAACCTTCAACAAGCTGCTGTTCAGACAAATGCTTCACTCCAGGCAATGTAGTACAGTAATTAATGAGATGGAAAGCATAGAGTGCTGCAGCTTAAAAGCAAATTCTTATGAATATTTAGAGCAAAGGATCTTTTTTCCGTTTCTGCAATAATGTGTTGAAATGGATGCACAAACTATTCTTTCTATTTCTGTTTTATTTAATGCTATTGGGTGCAGCACATTTACGTCCTTTTTGTCTCAAGTATGTACATAGGTGGCAAGGCGTCAAGAGTAAGTCTCTAAACCTCTTGTCTTTCTAAAATATTTTGATGAAGTCCACACACGATTAAAACCTTTTACCCGCGCTTCGTATATAGGACTAAATTTAACAATCGCCTATTGTCACCTTTGCAGGTGAAGGGCTGATACAATTCCACAAGTGACCTTCCCACAGCCCTCTCACCTGTCGTCAAATTTGTCCACAGTTTTGCTGACCCACCCACCCCCATCAAAACTGAGAGCCTCTTCTGTGGCTTTCTACATGGCCACAAATTTTCAGCCAATGGCAGGAATTCGGAGACAGGGTGGCAGTGGGAGGAAGGCTGGCAGTTAATGCTGCTCGAGCCTCGGGCAGGAAATGCAGGGACAGGCAGTATCTATCTCTTCCACATGGGGCACACTTCCTGTCCTGGTCCATTGTGCCCCCACCACGTCCTGTCTTCACATATGGCCTTGCCATTGTGACCTCTACCTCTCTACCTCCCTCCCTCCCTCCCTCTTCCCTTACTCTGGGCTTCCACTCAATTCCCACAGCACCTACCCTGATCACAGTGGTACTGCCTGCCCAGATCCTGAGAGGCTTGCCAGCTCTGTCATCCCACCAACACTATCAGATGGCCAGGTAGTCTCTGAAGATGGGGGCAGAAGTTTCTCCTCCATCCAGCTCACGTTCCTCAGAATGTTAAATGGCTGCAGGGTACGACATTGGTGGGACTGCATTCTCCGCTGACTCTCCAGCAGGAAATGCCACCATCTTGCCCGAAACAGATTCTAATTGAATCTCTTGTTCCATACAAGGGCCAAGAGAGAAGGTGATTCATACTTGAAAAGAAAATCAGCTTTCTTTCAAAACTGAAATAACCTCTAAACAGTGAATACAATAAATTGCTGACTTTATTCTTGTATTATAGCATAGTTCCAAATGGCATTTCCCCTCTGTTAACCTGAAGAGACATATCTCTAAGTGGTTGAAAAGGTAGAGGGGAAAGAACTGGAGAGATATTTGTAGAAGCCATGTACTGAACTTGCTTCAGGTAAAATAGACATTAACCAGGAAGTTTAATATACATCCCATAAAGCAACAAATAATTTGCGAGTTTGGAAATATTTCAACTTTGTGACAAAGCCATACTTTTAAAAATCGATTTAACTTGACTAATTCCTTTTAAAACTGATAATTATAAGAAGGATTTAGTGACATGTTTAAAGTGGCAATTTAAATAGTTTAATACATTTTAACGAGTAAGGTATCCAGAGATTTTCGCACCATCTGTTTAGTGCTATTTCGGTGTTAACTGTGACATGTAAGAACATATTTTTATGAAGCGTTGTGTTGGTACAAATAATTATGGAGTTCTAATGATAATCATTTTGCCTTTTTTTAATGATCTAACATTTCGAGCACAGCTTCCCGTGGAAAGTAAGCTAAATAAGCAGATCTTTTGGCACTTCAGTTTAATGCACATATTAAAGTGTTAAGGTAATTGGCATAGTCCATGAGGGACCTTAGGAACCTCTTCACGTTAAGCTTGGACTAAGAAAAGACAGCCCTACATGAGCCACCTCCGCTAAAACTGTGTTGGCACTGTTCTGCCTTTCTGTCCAACTGCTTAACCAACTGAGCTAATGGACACCCACACTTTATGGTTATTGTCAGACTACAATTCCACTGCTTTCACTTGTATTAAAAGTATTATAAAGGAACTGAAGCAATAGGCACATGTGGATATCAAGAGCAAAAAGTTGTATTCACGTATTAAAACTAATCATTTTAATTACTGGAAAGTTTTAGCAAATGTGGTTCTTGAGTTAATAAACATTAACATTGCTGCCAGATGTATTTTAAAGATATTTGATTTTTAAAAAAGAAAGGCTGTCATATTACTGCAAAAATGAATGTATAGAAAATATGCTGGGAAGTGTGGTCCTGAAATGCACTCTATCACAGTCAGAGTGTTGAAAAGATTTGAATATACCATATTTGGATAGTTGTAAAATGGTGATGTATGTTGGTTCTGAAATGTTTTAGATATCAGTGTATATGTATGTTTGTTAAAATACGTATTTGAAATAATTATATTTTAAGTATATATAAAATATATTGGTTCCATCCCTTTGTACCGGTAGCTCAGGTTAACTGATGATAGATAAATGGGTAACTTAAATTTGAGAACTTTGCAGGCACAGTATCATCCAGAGGCTGGATATCTACCTAAGTAAGAAAAGGAATATGTTCCTTTGTTTATTTTCTGTTACGATCATGAAATAAATATAACCTGATTTAAATTATTTGAACTATGAGACCAATGTGAGGAAGGATTTTGAGGAATAAGGTTATGTAGCAAATAATTATTGAAGGTGTAATTTTCTTTGAAAGCTGGTGTGAATTTTTTTATGAGACAACAAGGTGCAGGGCTGGATGAACACAGCAGGCCAAGCAGCATCATAGGAGCAGAGAGGCTGACGTTTCGGGCCGAGACCCTTCATCAGAAAAGGGGGAGGGGAAGGGGGTTCCGAAATAAATAGGGAGAGAGTGGGAGGCGGATAGAGGAGAGGATAGGTGGAGAGGAAACAGGTCGAAGAGGCGGGGATGGAGCCAGTAAAGGTGAGTGTAGGTAGGGAGTTAGGAAGGGGATAGGTCAGTCCAGGGAGGATGGACAGGTCAAGGGGGCGGGATGAGGTTGGTCGGTAGGAGATGGAGGTGCGGCTTGAGGTGGGAGGAGGGGATAGGTGGGAGGAAGAACAGGTTAGGGAGGCAGGGACGAGCTGGACTGGTTTTGGGATGCGGTAGGGGGAGGGGAGATTTTGAAACTTGTGAAATCCACATTGATACCATTGGGCTGCAGGGTTCCCAAGCGGAATATGAGTTGCTGTTCCTGCAACCTTCGGGTGGCATCGTTGTGGCACTGCAGGAGACCCAGGATGGACATGTCGTCTGAGGAATGGGAGGGGGAGTTGAAATGGTTCGCGACTGGGAGGTGCAGTTGTTTATTGCGAACCGAGCGTAGGTGTTCTGCAAAGCGGTCCCCGAGCCTCCGCTTGGTTTCCCCGATGTAGAGGAGGCCACACCGGGTACAGCGGATGCAGTATACCACATTGGCAGATGTGCAGGTGAACATCTGCTTGATGTGGAAAGTCTTCTTGGGGCCTGGGATGTGGGTGAGGGAGGAGGTATGGGGGCAGGTGTAGCACTTCCTGCGGTTGCAGGGAAAAGTGCCGGGTGTGGTGGAGCTGGAGGGGAGTGTGGAGCAGACAAGGGAGTCACGGAGAGAGTTGTCCCTCCGGAAAGCAGATAAGGGTGGGGAGGGAAAGATGTCTTTGGTGGTGGGGTCGGATTGCAGATGGCGGAAGTGTCGGAGGATGATGCGTTGGATCCGGAGGTTGGTGGGGTGGTACGTGAGGACGAGGGGGATTCTTTGTTGGTTCTTATTGCGTGGACGGGGTGTGAGGGATGAGGTGCGGGAGATGTGGGAGACACGGTTGAGGGCGTTCTCGACCACCGAGGAGGGGAAGTTACGGTCCTTGAAAAACGAGGACAACTGAGATGTACGGGAGTGGAATGCCTCATCCTGGGAGCAGATGCGGCGGAGGCGAAGGAATTGGGAATAGGGGATAGCATTTTTGCAGGAAGGTGGGTGGGAGGAGGAGTATTCCAGGTAGCTGTGGGAGTCGGTGGGCTTGAAATGAATATCGGTTTCTAGGTGGTTGCCCGATATG